AATGACGGCAAGAATGAGCTGAACAAGTTTGTTCTATGTAACAACTATGATTTATTTAATAAACTTTTGAGTTTTTGCAGAAATAAGAAAATTACAAAGTTTAGTTATATCCCAGTAATAAAAACCTTTGGTGATATAAAACTGGGCCGCCTATATGTAAAATTCTGTTAGAAACAATTTTACTTAGGTAGCCAAAGTAGGTTTACTTAATAAAAAATTGGGAAAAGAGTAGTTATGTTTAGAGAAAATTTGGTACAAGTGATCGTCGGGAAGAGTTAATGATTTGCATCCCCTTTTGAATTAATAAAGATTAATAAATAATATATAATAAATATATTTATAATTATTATTAGTATTTTTTTGATGTTAAGATGATTTTTTTGATTTTTTAAGTTTTATTTATAACTTTTTTGATAATATAATTCAGTAAACCACTATATAAGAGTATACAATTTTCTATATATATAACTTTTCTATATTATTTATTTAAAAGTTCACTCAAAGATTCTTTACTAATTAATATATTTATCAATTTTGCTTAAGTGTTTTACTTTAAACCCTTTGAATCTGCAATCTGTATTAACATTACTGGATTAAGCTCAGGTTATTATTTCAATCTTAGAACAAATTTATCCTCAAGATAAAACTTCTAAAGCTTTTTGTACTTATTTTTACAATTGACCTAGTATCATTATAATAGAACTAACACTTGTAGTTAGAGTTATATTATTTAACTGCTATATTCTTATAGAGTTTATACAGATCCCAGTATCTACTTAATAGTATAACCTAGTATTTTAGTATATTTCTGCCTTTTGTTTAGCTTTTCTTTCAGACTTCCAATTCAGATAACCCATATAGAACTATAACCAATCAATCAGTATATCAGGTCAGCCCAATATTCTTTTTCTCTAGTTTGTTCTAATAGTCTGGTTGGTAGTACCTCTAAGACTTCCAATCTGAAGGTTTTTCTTTGTCTGAGTACTATGACTAGGTACTATAACCAATTATTATTAGTATTAAATAACAAGTTAATCAAATTTATTTATTAATTTTAGATTAAATTATTATAATATAAATAAAATAATATCAAAATATCTTTTAATAATTTAGATAAAGTTTTAATCTATAAATATAACTTGTCTTAAAAATAATATATTATTATTAATTTATTTATATTCATAACTAAAATTTTAAATAATAATAGGTTTTGTTGCTAACAGATGAAAAGATGACTTTCTTATAATACAAATAATACAATTATTAAAAATTTTTTAATAATTTCTTATTTAATCCATCTTTATCTTTCTTAAATAGAATTTTATAACTACTTTTGTTTATCATATTAATTTATTTTGTTATGAGTTTTATAAAGAATATTATATATTTTTTCAATAACCAAAAATAGTTTATTATTTTTTTTATCTAAAATTCATCAGAAGTTATTGTCTTAAGATGGAATCATTTTTTGTCCAGTCTCTGATGTTCTTATTATTGATATCAATATTATTAAGATATTTTAAAATTAGTTTAATTTGATTATAAAACTCTATATTTATTAATATCTTTAATTTTTTGCATTCAAGTAGACCAATTATGTAATTATTGCAATGTCAGAAAAAGTTTTTGAATTAATGAATTCAAATTTCATCTTTAATAGTAAATATGTTATTGATCATACCTAATAATAAAGATAGTTATAATAAAGATGCAATGAGAAACTATTGGGTATTTTTCTTATAATTAGGTTATTCTTTTATTTGACTTTTTTAAAAAATTTTTTAATTACATCATTTTCATTTAACTTTTGACTTTCTAATTGATTACTTTATTTTTCATGCATCACTATTCAATGCATTATTATGCTATTTTTGCATTACAAATATTCTGATTACTTCTATTAAATTTTAGTACTTTTTGTTTTATTTTTATAATTCATTTTATATCCGCAAACTAATACTATTCATTTAATTATTCCAATTCACTGAATACATCGAATATTGTACATTGGTAACAAGGTACTATAGCGAAGAATCAAATATGACAAAAAACTATCGGTGTATAAATTATTAAGTCTAAGATTTTTTTCTTGGTTATTTAGTTAATGCGTCAGATGACAACTGACATACCTCAGATCATCTGAGGCGCTTCATCTAATGATCGATATCTGAGGTGTGTCAGCTATCACCTGACACAAGCATCGATCTCAGGCACAACATATTAATGGGAAATTGCATACCAAAGTTTTCGACAAACAAACGTTTCAAAATTTACTGAACCATTTTTGGTGATCTCATTATTCTTAGAATAGTCGAATAGTCACAACCTGAAAAATAATTTTTATTAAAGCATAAAATATGTTTACTTAGTAACAAACCTAGTATTGGAGAATTTTTACTTTTTATGTAAAAAGATCATATTCACGGGTATGCGCGTTAATTTGGAACACTCATGAGCGCTAATTCGAAACAACATTTGATATTTTCAAGGAACTTAAATTTCAAATAACGCTCACGGGCATTGTTTTACGCTTGCACAGTAAGATTTACAAATATTTCCTGTAACTATAATCAAATAATTCAAAGCTGAAATTCGGATGATGTTTAAATTCAACAATATGATTGGTTAGAAAGGTTATGTTTATGTCTGCACGTTTGGCCAATATGATTTTTTATTTTCAGCACCACACCATCCACGCCATAATTATTATAAATAATTATGTTATATTTAAATATAAATAAATTGTAAGCCACATTCAGTATTAGAACAAAATCCACATACCAAATACGGTAATTATAAAAGCCACACAAAAAGTAAAGGACTGTTTAAACATAAGCCCTGGGTACAGTTATATCCTTTTGTTAATACAAATATTTTGGTTACAGCATTTGTCAATTATGCCTCGGCAGTAGGCTGTACGCACATCTTTTCAAATCGTAACCTTTGCTTTTTTTGTATTTAAAAACTAGAATTTTGACTTCTATTTCAGCACTCTGTCTTTCTTTCAAAAAAATGAAGACTTTTGGGATTATTTTCATCTTTTTATTAGCCATTCTTACCTATACTGCTTCGGCAGATTTAGTAGACGTTTACAGCCCGGCAGAAGGCTCAACAATTTATAAACCGTTCAAAGCGAAGGTCGCATGGGAATTTGACGAGCTTCTTCTTGATTGTAAGCAATATGAATTGTAATTGTCGTTAGTGTTTAAATCTTACAAATCAATGTATAATATAGTATATATACTGTATATATAATTTTAGCCGAGGTCTTAATTATAATTTGGGGTTATTTGTGTAAGCCAGGAGTCATATGCTATCCTTATTATCAAAATTTTTGGAACACAACTACAGTAAGTACAATTAATCAGTGTGATTTTTTTATACTACGCAAAAGAGAATAATGATGAACGAAAAAATTTTAAATCTATCCATATATTATTTTAATTTTTTTTAGACATTGTATGCCAAAAAGGCTTATATTCCTACTTTTGACCTTCCTATACAATACTATACATATATTGCTGAAGTTTGTGTTGATTCGCTTGAGGAATGTTACGAATCGGGTCATTTTTATATTGCATTATGATGTGTTATTGGAAGTATTTATACAGTAATTACAACTAGAGAAAATGTATTCGTGAATTTTATCATTGCTAATAAATAGTTACATTAGTAACGTTTGCAATCAAATCCATACATTTGTTATAAAAAAATCGTAGCTACAGATATACAAATATGAAATGAATAAAAAAAGTATGAAGCATTTGAATATATGCAATTTGTTATCCAGGACAACTTTCTTTTAAAGTAATTATATTCGTTTGGGATTTTATGGTTATATCCAAACTCAAAATAGCTTTGCAAGCATTAGAAATAATGGATTGATAAGAGTTTTTGCAGAACATCGAGATAATCAATATTCGCTATGTAAATATTTTTATATTCTACTATTAATAATTATTGCTAGTTATATATAAGCAAATACTATACAACCGTATGTTGAAAAAAACAAAGTATTTAAGACTTACGCTGGGTTTGATTCGAAAACATTTTGTAAATCATCTGTTTGATAAGAGTAAAATAAATATATATATTTCAATACTCTTAAAACACCAAAAACTTGTACTTTTTAATATTATTATAGAGCTAACTTACTATAGTGAGCTAGTATGTATAACTGCAGTTTAGATTTCCTATAACAACGGAATTGTATTCTGAAATTTGAATGATCGTGAAATTAACGCATCTGATTGGTTGCATTGTGGGTAATCAGCCAATGGGATTGTTAGATTTCACGATCACCAAATTTCTTTATTTTTAATAGGGATTTGGCAACATTCATTTTATAACATATAATGAAGATTGAAGATAATTGTATTTAATACCAAAATGTAAAAGTTAAGGGTAGGGGTGACGTAGATCATTTGTCATATGATTTTCCTAGCAAATAAAATTTTATATATAAAAAAATATATATTACTAATAAAACTTTT